AGATGTCCAAGGCCAAGACGATACACAGGTCAGAGATGGAAAGGTGCACAGGCAGTGCCTTAATGCCCAGAGTAATAAATTCCAAGGAGAAACATTGCCCAGCAGGGAGGCAGAGGGAGGGAATGGCAAACTTACCTCTAAAACTCATTTTTCCAGCGAAGTCAAAATCCCAGTGAAATTTCTGTTCTAAAGGTCAAATTAGAAAGCTTTCATCCTCAGACTTGTAAACTATTTCTCAAATCAGTGAGTCTCAAAATTATTCATTAGATCACCAGCTCTTAAACTAGAATTCTATTAAGCTCTGGATCAAAGGGGTTTTATTCCAAACTGTGGAGTCTTGACACAACAGCGAGGACATGAGCTGGAGAACTTAATCTCTGCGTACTGGTGAAAGGACTGACATAAAACCTGCTCTTAAAAAGGCAGGCACAGCTTTTATGGAGACAGTGTTGGAGCCATAAATATCAGGAGGCAAATCTTGTGGAGCAAAAAGCTTTAATGCTGTTGTGGGTGTCAGTGATCAGTTAAAGTGCTCTCAGCCTGCCTTGCTGGAGACAGGCCATGATTTCTTCAAACCAGTGGCCTCTAACGTGTGAAATTGATTGAGAAGCACTGGAATTCCCTCTTCAAGGCCTGTTTTATAGGCCAAATTAGCATAGTTTACAGTCTGCAGGCAGTGAAGTCGTATTATTCTGTGGCAGCCATGCAAATATCTTCTGTCTCCATCTGCTTGTGTGTTTTGTCCAGGTTATGGAAGTGTGAGCTGCTGTGTGTGGGGAGTTACACAAATGTGATGGAAACCAGTTGGAAGAGGCATGCAAGCTCTCTCCTGGTGGGAAGTTCTTTAGTCAGGCTGAACTAGGATGATTTGGCCAATCCTGCTGGTCAGGTTTTTTTGCTCAATGAAATGTCATTGCCAATCTCTTTGGATTCCCATGGGATAAGTCATGTGGTTTTTAATAAAAAATATAATCCCATTGACTTTGATTCAAGGGCTGGATGTGACCTTAAACATCACTCTGAATTTTAGATTGCTGGGATTAGCTTAAATTATAGAAGGGTATGAGAAGGCAAAGCCCATAGTGATCTGCAAATCTCTTTAAGTCATGCCTGAAAATTGGCTTTGGGTGTCTCGGCTGTGCCTGGGACCTAAGGGGATTGCACATTTCTCAGAGAGAAAAGGTAATTACACCTTACCTAGATCATTACTTCCCCTCTATGGCTGCTTGAAAGCTCATTTAACATACCTAATAAAGGTGTTTTGTCCACTACAGAACACCCAGAAGTGCCAGTGAACAAGTTTTAGCTTTCTGATTTGTCAATTCTTATCAAATTCACTTTTAACCATTCAGTTTTCTTGTATCCAAAGCACAACCAAGTCTCAGGGGTGAAATGCCAATCCCAACATAGATAGGGGCTAAAAGAACTCTTTAAGGGCTGATTTGCTGATCATCTAACTGAAGTGTTAGTATCCTAAGCAGAGAGCTGGTTTCAGCCCAGCTGGAGTGGTGCTAAGCTTGGAGTGCCCAGTGCCAGTGACTCCCAGAGACTCCCCAGTGATGTGCAGGTATCACCAAACCCTTTGCCCTTCCTGTGCTGCTCCTCTGCCTCCAGACCCATAGAACCTGGCTAATATATGAGGCTCATTGAGCCCCTCACTCCAGAGGGATGACGAGCCAGGGGAAGGTACAGACAGACATGCAGATCCAGGGATTGTGCTTTGGAGGCTCTTTGCTATCAGCATCCACTCAGCACAGCAATATCACTGATGTGTTATCAAATTGGCTTCACAGAGGTCTCTGGAGATACACTTCTAAGTAAAACACAGCAGCATAAAAGCCACTAACATTTTTATTTCTCTGAGCCTGAATATTTGTCATGTTTTTGTTTGGAAACTTAAGCTTCAGCGATGCCTAAAGAAGTGATTGATGTGTGTATGTTTTTGTGGGAAGGAAGGAGAAAGAGAAATAGTTTCGTATCAGTTAAACGAGAATAATAGGTGAAAATAGCACTGACACTGCTTTTCTAATCAGCAGGCAAAATCCCTTAACTGTAATGAGCAGGGGCTCACTAATGGGCTGTGCTGTGACAGTGCCACTCAGGGCAGTGGGCAGCAGTGTTGGCTTTCCACATGGCACAGCCACACAAATTGGCTTCCACAGGACACACAGACACCTGTCACCACCAATTCGCATCATTTCCTCCTCATGTCATCTCCTCCAATGCATTTTTGGTGGGTTTTCCTAGTTCTGAAACAGCCCTTTGCATAGCTGGTGTCTCCTAATTCCAGAACCAGCATAATTACAAAGCAGTTTGGATTTTAGCAATAGGCACTTTGGCGAGCATCGAAGCAAGCCATGGAAAGCTTCCCCTGGCAGGCAAAGGGCAGCAAAACACAGCTTAGCTTTGATCACAAACTGGGGTCTGTGTCAAAGCAGCAGTGGCCTGAGACTCGTCCCCCCAGGGAGGTCTCGTGCCCCCGTTGGGTTTCCACGACACAACGAGTGCAGCTCCTCAGTTCCTGCCACACACAGCCAATAATGGGAACCAAGAGGCCTCATGTGCCTGCTCTGCTTGGGTGGATGTCTCACCAGGGGGACAGCAGTGGAGCTGTAGGTGAGGAGGGATATAAGGACAGAAAATCACACTGCTCCTGCCAGTGGCAGGGTGAGCTGGGGTCATCTTGTTTGCTTGTTCATCTCTGGATGTCACCAGTCAAGTATTTCCTTAAAACTTTGATTTCCAGTTCTTGCCTAGTGGTCACTTAGCGAAAGAAATACCAAATTTCAGAAAGCACACTGCTTAGTGGTCACTTAGCAAAAGAAATACCAAATTTCAGAAAGCACAAACCCCAGTAGGCCCTAAGAAAGGATAAAAGGTCACAGCTCTTTTGTTCTGCTTATAAGTGAATCTTCTTTGCTCTAAGGACTGATTTTCTTACACAAAGCTTAGGGAAACTTTTCATCACTTCAGCCAAAGTTGGCTAATTGTTCCTGTGAAAAGCCATATGGTTTTGATTAAAATTTCCCAGTGCCATTTACTGAGACAACCTACCCAGGCTTAAGGGGCTTTGCATCACTTCAGGTTGCTTAAGCTTTTATTGAACCTCATTTGAGACTTCAGGAGGTCATTGAGTGCAACACCCTCCCCAGGCTGAAAGGCTGGTGGGTTGGCAGCTGCTGCAGCACTCCTGGGCCTTGGGACATTTGGGGGGAATGAGCATCTGTTCCACTTCAGTTGTGGAACTAAGTTGTGCCACTAAACGTTCAGGCAGAGTTTTAATGGGGACGACAGAAAACTCTGCTAATGGCAGAAGAGACATCCGAGTGCCTGTTTGGGGGAGGTGTTGGGAGGTGTATTGCACCCCAGTGCATTGCAGCACCAGATGTCAGGGGGGTGCAAACATTGGCTGATTGAGCCTCTTTGGAGAGACAGAGTTGAGGAACTCATCCTTGGAGATGTGCAGACTTTGTCACTGAGAGCTGAAGTGACTTTCTCAAAGTCACAGAGTCACATTTAAATACATCCAACTTAGATAATACCTGCAGCTTGGTACTTACCTGGGTCTGTTAAATCTGGTTTAGAACTGATGCTGTGGGGAAGTTTTCCATGGAATCCTCTCAGTCATTAAACAAGGTATGAGTAACTCTTACAATAACCTTCCTGCATTGCTCTTACACCTCCCTGTTGTGTTCTCCTCTTTGCACTGAAATCACTGCTAGTTGCATCCTCCTGTGGCTCCTGGAGCTCACACAGGATTTCCCTGGAGTCACTGGATTGGGAATGTGTGCTCCCAAGAAGTGTTGGCAGGACATTGAGCTCTGGAATTGGAAGTGTTAGTATTTTCATCCTCAGTGCTTTCTCTTAATTGATGGTTTTGTGGGTTTGTTTGTTGGGTTTGGTTAAATTGGAAGTGTTAGTATTTTCGTCCTCAGTGCTTTCTCTTAATTGATGGGTTTGTGGGTTTGTTTGTTGGGTTTGGTTTTTTTCTTGGCAAATAAGAACAAAAATCCTCATATATTAGCCAGGTGCTATGGGTCTGGGGGCAAAGTGGAACCTAGTGCAGTCATCAGGGCAAACAAACACAGCCAAAGCATTCACACTGTAGTTCATTCTGTAGCTCTGAGGGTTGTTTTTTCTTCTTTTGCTGTCCCATTGATTTTGAATGTCAGAAATCAGTGCATAATATCTTACCTGCTATCCTGGGAGGGGGACAGAGGCACTAGACAGCGTTTCCCTTGGAGGAACACAATGAACATGGGGAAGGGAGTGTTTGAGTGCTGCTTTGGCATGAAAGCATTGGGAGGGGATGGTTGTCAGTGAGGGGGTTTGGGGTTTGTCCAGCTCTGTCCTCCGAGCGT